AAAAAAAAAAAAGTGCTTTTCCTTTCACCACCCAAAGATGCTACCTGGATCCTTTTCACTGTCATTGTCCGTCCCTGAGCATCAAGGATGACAGATCCTTTATCTTTCCCCACTCTTGACCCTTTTTTGCCAGAGAAATTTTATGAAAACCAGGGTATGTAGGTGCACAAAATAGGTATACAAATCAACACTTACTGATAATAAATCATGAAGATGTTTATTTTTTAAACAATTCTTTGAGCCAGGCATGGTGCACACGCCTTTAATCCCAGCATTTAGAAGGCAGAGACAGGTGAATCTCTGTGAATTCAAGGCAAGCCTGGTCTACATAGAAAGTTCCAGGCTAGCCTTGGAAAAATAGCAAGATCTTGTCTCAAAATAATAATGATAATTCTATAAGTGGTTAAGAGCACTGGCTGTTCTTGCAGAATATCCGGGTTCAAATCCCAGCACCCACATGGCAGCTAACAACCATGTATAATTCCAGTTTCAGGGGATCCAATGCTTCCTTGGGCATTACAAGACACAGGTACACTTGCATACATGCAGGCAATACACTCATACATATAAAATAAAAATAATAAAATATCAAAAGAATAATTATTTGGCATACATATAATTTTATCATTAATAAAGACAAAGGTAAATTGCATACTAATGAAATATCTGTGCATTTTTATTTGTACATAAAGAATTAAATCTTCACTGAGTATTTAACAGCACAGGACATAGATCTTCAAAGTTTTTCAGAGATGATTAATATTTTTATTTTATTTTTGTCAATGCTGACATGAATACATAATATAAAATGGCAGAAGTGTGTTTAGGTCATTTCAAAAGTTGTTGGAAATTCTGTCCTACCTTTATTCAAGACAAAATTCATTTAGTGATTTATTTATGAAACTCATGTCAGCAAATCAAACAGTAAATTTTTAAAAATCAAACATTCAAGGCTGGAGAGAGATGGCTCAGCGGTTAAGAGCACTGGCTGCTCTTGCAGAGGACCCAGGTTCAATTCCCAGCACCCACATGGCAGCTAACAACCATCCATAACTCCAGTTCCAGGGGATCCAACACCCTCTTCTGACCCTGTGGACACTGCAGGACATGAGTACACTTACATACATGAAGGCAATATACTCATACACATAAAATAACACATAAATAAATAACAAGCAAAATATTTCAAACCAAACATCCCAAACACAATACAATCCAAAAGTATAATATTTTAATATTGCCATGCTGAGGAATGATGATAGCATTCCTTTGTTTCCTGTAACTCAACTCTTGTCATGTCAGTAATCTCAGAAAACTCTGTATGTACAGGAAAAATACTGCCATTTGTAACGTATCAGTGCTATTAAATTCGAGCTGAGATGTTTCAGGCAGTGTTTCTGCACTACACAGGCATGATGGCACATGTAGCCACATGTTCAGAGCCAAGGCTCTAATGAAGTCATGTGATACAGCCTAGTGAGCACTGCTCAAAACAGTGGATCTATTATGCTTTGATTTTGAATTGATTTTTGGTTGTTGCACTATTCAAAATCCTTTAACTGTCGCCAAATTTTCATGATCCTCACATCATTATATGAGCCCAGATGGGGTTGTAACCCACTGTTTAAGGATTTGGGGACTGGAAAGATGGCTCAGCAGCTAAGAATACTTACTGCTCTTGCAGAGGACTGAGTTAGAGTCCCAGAACCCACACTTGGCTTCTCATAACCACCTCTAACTGTAGCTCCAGGGAATCCAGCACTCTCTTCTGAGCTCCACAGGCTTCTGCACACAAGTGCACATACATACACACAGACACACACACATACTAAATCTTTTTAAAAAGAAGTGGATGTGCAATATGTGACCCTGTTAGTTTGCCCAACTGCAGAATCCTGGGAGTTGAGGGTTCTCCTTTTAAAACAGTGTTTCTCAAAGGATGGTTCAAAGACTTCCTGAACTCTTAGGTTTAGTACTAGATTACTGTTAAAATGCAAATCCCTGGGCCTTAATGCAGCTCTACCAACTCTGAAATTAGTGTCTGGTGATAGGATGCAGAAATTCACACCTCCAGGAGATGAGAATGCATACTCAGTTGAAAACTACAGGAGTGTCTTCACTCCCTCTATGTAAATAAAAGTGGGTGGGTCTGCGCCTGGAGAATCACTCATGTGTTCAGCCTTGTGGGAAGGACTTTTTACAGCTCCTACTGGAGCAAATTCTATTACTGTTCCATTTCACAGGCAAAGAAACTGGGTGTCTAGAAGTTAAATGACCTGCCCAAGGTTATAACAGCTTGTAAGTAGAAAAGTCAAGATCTCAACTGGATTTTGATCTGCAAAGTCACAAGATTGCAATGTTGCTCTGAGTTAGGAAGAGGCTATCTGAGTACCACTCTGGGCCAGGTACTGTGCCAGGGAACTAGATGCATTCCTTCATGCAACTGACATTAAAGTAGAAAAGATATACCTACAAGAAATAAACATGCAGTGAGTTCGCTGGAATTACACTGGTAATCATTTAGCACCTGGGTAATACAGATAGCCGAGGTCAAATGGCAGAACTCTGAGTTGCTTGCGCCTGAAATACCACGTAGCCTAAACATTCTCTTCTGTATAGCTGCCTCCATGAACTGCAGCAATTTTCTCTAGTCCACATTCATTATTCCTGTATCCTGAATCATGTAGGATTGCCCTGTGGGAACTGACTTACAAGCGGTCCTTTGTTCAGTGACTTTTCCAAGCTCCCAAACTTCAGTGATTGAAAAGTGATTTTTTTACCCCCCTCCCCTTTTTTCCTCCTCAGTGCAATTTGGGCGCCTGTTACTTACTGGCTTCTCAGCAGACCATTGTCTATTTCTGTAAATGTCTTATATGATTACACAGTCATGTACTTTTTCTAAAATTACAGTTTGCAGGATATTTTTAGGTACTGTGCTCATTGGAACACATTTTAATTTAAATGAACCAGAAAGAAAAATATATATTCTCTCTTCTCTCCTTCCTTTTCTAATTTAAGAAGTTGAAATATATAGAGAAACTATTGAAGTCATTCATAATATTATTTTTAAACTTCTACGTCAAAAAAAAAAAAGAGATTCAATTCTCCATTATAGTGACTTCTTGATGTTAGGGGACAGGGTTGATGCATTTCTCTGGGATAAATCTATTATGGGATAGATAGAAGAATAGAGTGCATTTAGCTGAATGAGGATGACGTTTCTAATTACACATGAGATCTTGCTCAGTTTCAAATTCTGTTTAACTTTCTGTGGAAATATGAAAGAACCATTATAGGAGGCACATCTTCACACACTTGGACTTTACAGTCAAATGGACAAAAGTTCAAACTCAAGGGCTTTGCTCTTACACTGTGTGGTCTCATGACCTTGAACAAGCTCTTTAATTCCTTTGAGCTTCCTTTATGGAGATTTTATGAAGACAAAGAGATTCATAACTATTAATCCTTTTCTTTTTATTTCCC